AGTGGTGATAGCCAAATAAGGAATTCCCGAGGATCATGCTCAGTGACTTCTGTTCTCTTGGCTGTCCGGCATCATCTATGTCTGTCAAAGCCAGTCCGTATGTGTGTCTCAGCATGTGCATCTGTGTGTCCGCGCATGTGTGTGTGGCTCGTGTGTAAGTGTGTGTGTGTGTGTGTGTGTGTGAGTGTGTGTGTGTGTGTGTGTGCGGAGAGGGGGGGGGGGGCACCGGACGGCCCGTCCGTGCGCGCGGAAGCGGTCGGCGGTCGAGGTAAGCGTGACCGTGGCGCCGGGCGGGAGGTGGTACCCCATGCCTCCCACGTGGACGAGGGAGCGCGAGGTTGCCTCCCCGGAGGGCCGCGAGTGCAAGCAGACAATGTCTCCGTCGAGGAGGGCCCACTACCAAGAGAGGACCAGAGATGACCCAGAGAGGACCAGAGAGGACCAGAGAGGACCCGAGATGACCCAGAGATGACCAGAGATGACCATAGATGACCCGAGATGACCCGAGGTGGCCCGAGGTGGCCCGAGATGACCCGAGATGACGTGTCTCCGTCGAGGAGGGCCGCTGGCCAGTCATGGCGGGCGGGCGGTGTGAGGAGGGGGGTGGGGTGGGGTGGGGTGGAGCAGCCAGGAGCTGCCAGCCCAGTCAAGCCTGCGGCATCTCGACTGCATCTGAGTGGGGCGGCATCTCGGGTGATCTCGGGTGATCTCGGGTGATCTCGGGTGATCTCGCGCCTCGTGCACGCCGCCAGAGGAGGTCTGGATGTGCAAGCCGGTGGCCGACCGCTCCGCAAACAGCTCGCTCCTGCGACGAGAGGAGAGGGCGATGCTCCGGCGGGCGGGCGGCGAGGGGGGCGGTGAGGGGGGAGGCGAGGGGGTGGCGAGGAGGGAGGCGAGGGGGTGGTGAGGGGGCGGCGAGGGGGCGACGGGGGGGTGGTGAGGGGGGTGGCGAGGGCGGAGGCGAGGGGGGAGGCGAGGGGGCGGTGAGGGCGGAGGCGATGGGGGCGGTGAGGGGGGGCGGCTAGGCACTCGCCCTGCCAGGCCGCAGACCACCGCGCCGGTCACGAAGCTCTCCCCCTCCGACATCGAAGGCAGCCGCGCCCACCGTGCGTCGTCTCCGCACAGCCCGAAGTGGTCGCCGCGCAGGCATGCGTACGCCGGCGGCGCGGGAGGCATCGGCCGGCCTGCTGCAGCGCACTGCACAAGCACCCTCGAGACTACCTCCGCCGCCGCCGGCCAACGCAACGTGCCGCCCGCCCCGCCGCCGCCCGCCCCGCCGCCGCCCGCCCCACCGCCGCCCGAGAGCGAGAGCGAGTTCGCCCACTGCCTTGGGGGCGCCCCGCCCGCCCCGCCCGCGGCGGCCGCGGCGTCGGCGGCGAGGGCGGTGGAGCAGCAGCAGAGCAGGAGGGTGTACGCCGTCGCCTGGGGCGCAGGGTTCGGGTACCGTGGGGGTAGGGGTGGGTTCGGGTACCGTGGGGGTAGGGGAGGGTGTCCGCCGTCGCCTCCTCGACGGGCCAGCCGCCCTGCCGCACCAGGGCGTCGATCTGGAAGCGGTGGCCCCGCTCGGCCCGCTGCAGCCCCTCGGGGCCGCCCGTCCCCAGCCGCGCCTCCGTCGCCAGATGAGGAGCGCCTGGCAGCAGGGGCGGCGGCGGCTCAGGCGAGCCCGCGTCCCGCGCCGGGGAGGCAACTGCCGGGCGGAGGGAGCGAGGCGCGCCCGTCAGGCGGAGCTGCTCGGCGCGCAGCTCGGCCCACTCCGCCCGCCAGCCGTGCAGCTGCGGCGGCGCCTGCGGCGGCGCCTGCACCGCCTGCGGCGGCGCGCCATCGCCGTCGAGCGCCGCTGCGTCGTGCGCCGCCTCTGCAAACGCCTGCGCCGACGCGCCGTCTCTCCGGCTCGGGCGGCGGCCGACCTTGGGCGCCACCTCGGGATCGTCCGCCTCGGCCGCCGCCGCCGCCGCCGCGAGCGCGTGCTTGGGGCACCGCCGGCCAGGGTTCGTCAAGTCGTCAGCGAGTTCGCGGCACGCCGCGCACATGCCCGCCACCAGCTGCTGCTTCATCGCCGGCCAGTCGACGCTGCGGATGCTGCGCATGTACCGCTCCTCGTCCGTCTCGGGCTCGGGAGGCGGCGGCGCCTCGGCCTCCTCCGCCGCCGCCTCCGCCTCCGCCGCCGCCGCGGCCGCCTCCGCCTCCTCTGCCGCCGCCTCGGCGCCCTCGAGCGGCGGCGGCGATGAGGACGGCTCCGGCTCAGGCCCGGTGCTGCGGGCGTCTGCTGCTGCGGGGCATGCGGAGGCTGGCGGATCTGCAGCGGCGACCCCAGCGCAAGCCTCTCCCTGGCCCCCGTTTACGCCGCCGCTCGCGCTGCTGCTGCAGTCGCACGGCTCGTCCACGCCGTCGTCGGACAGCTCGTCGGGGTCGACGAGCCGCGTGCCCGCGGGCGCGAAGCCCCCCTCCTCGAGGGGCACCAGCTGCGCCAGCCTCCACAACTCGGCCATGAAGAAGCGACCAAGCTCTAACTGACTGATGGAGCTCTCACTGCCGCCCAAGGGGTAGCACAAGAAATCTTGCGAGGCACATATGCTGATTTCTTCCTGCCTGCGGGTCGGTCGGTCGGTCCTAGGATTCGAGGTTTTTAGGGGGTAGGGTATGGTAGGGTCAGGGCCCTGGCACCGCGACCATACCCCCCCCACCCGCACACACGCATGCTCCACGCACGCGCAGCAAGCGAGACCGAGAGGCCGTGGAAAACGCTTAAAATGGCACAGATTTACGATTTTCCGCGCGCTGCGCGCGCCGAGCACGGCCACGGCGCCAAAAAAGTGCTTGCCGGAGTCCGTTTTCAGTGGACGGACCCGAAAAAATTTCTTCGCCCGCGCTGGCGCGCGGGCGGTCGGTCGGTCCCCCGAGAGCGGCATTGTGCATGGTGCGGAGTGCATTGCCGTTCTTAACGGAGTCGCTTAGGCGGCTCCGGTGGTGAGCCGGTGTGTGTGCCAGTCCGCGCCAGTCCGCGCCCTTGTCGTGCCAGTGTGCTGTGAGAGAGGCGGGGCTAAGAATTCTTTTTCTGTTGCCAGCCTGCTCAAGGCGCTTCCTCCACGTCCCTCAACTCGAGGGGGAGCTAGCTAGGGAGCTAGCGCGGCGCGGCAAGGCCCGCCCACCACGCGCTGCTCAACTAATGTCCAGTGACGAGGAGGACGAGGGCGTCTACGCGGGCGTGACGCTGCCGCAGCTGGGCGGCGGCGGCGCGGGCCCGCCGCCGAGCGACGACGAGGACGACGACGAGCCCTCCGGCGAGGCGGGGGCGCCGGGCGAGAGCGGCAGCGACGACGACGCGGGGGCGAGCGGGCTGCTGGGGGCGGAGGCGGCCTTCGACGTGGACGGCAGCGCCTACGAGCTCAACCCGTTCCGCGCGGCCGGGCCCGTGGACCAGCCCGACCTGCCCACGGACCAGGGCGGCGGCAAGGGCGGCAAGGGCGGCAAGGGCGGCAAGGGCGCCTCGACGAGGACGCTCTTCATCGGCGGCGTGCCGCGGGGGACCAAGGACGCGGAGCTGCTCAAGGCGTTCGTGCGCTACGGCAAGGTGCAGGAGGCGTCGGTGGCGCGCGTCGACGGCCAGATGAACAAGACGCGCGGGTTTGGCTTTGTGACGTTTGTGAGCCACAAGGGGCTCAACTATTGCCTGCAGTCGCTGGGCGAGCCGCCTCAGGTGGAGCTCGGCGGGCGCGCGTGCTCCGTCCGCCGGTCGGAGAAGCGCGGCGTCGACCTGGGCGGCGGGACCGCCTACAAGCTGCCGGCGCGCGGCTCGTTTGACCCGCGGCCGAGGGCGGAGGAGAAGAAGGGCGGAGGCAAGCGGCCGAGCGAGTGGGAGCGGCCGGGCGAGCTGGCGGCGGGCGGCGACGATGACGGCCTCGGCCTCGAGCCGCCAAGCTTCGAGGGCGGCGACGGCTACGGCGGCGGCGGCGGCGGCGGCGCGCGCAAAAAGGCGCGCGGCGGCAGCAAGGGCAAGGGCGAGATTGTGACGGTGACGCGGCGCGAGGACGCGGAGCCGCTGTACAACAAGGCGCTCACGATGAAGGAGCTCTTCCCCAAGGAGTTCTGGAAGATATGATCTCAGCTACAGCCGACGCGGCGGCGTCGGCCGACGGCACAGCCTCGGCTCTGGCCGCGTCTAGACGCCACCGCCACGAGGCCACGACACCTCGACGTCGACCGGGGGGCACGGAAGGTTGAATTGATTCATGATTGGAGGGGAAGGTTCGAAGGACGGAAGAGGTTTGAATCGACAACAAGATAGGGCCAGGGCGCAGGGGGGGGCAACCGAGTCGCGACTCGACTCACACTATGCCCGAAAAAAGAATTTGAAAAGAAAATAGCCATCATTGCACGCTGGCACTCTGGCACATGGAGGGAGCTCTGTTGTAAAACTCTCTGACACTGCCCGGCCGCCCCTGCGATCGCATACACACATGTTCCAACACAGCGGTACGCCGCCCGGCATCACCGCCGCCTTCGACTGTGCCGCCCGAAATGCGACCTGGCACTTTGGCCGCTCACTCCTGCCGGAGCGGGCATCATTCGCGACCCTCTTTGACGCGTTGCAACTCCAAGCGTGCGGCCTCGCCAGGCCGCTTGCCGTGGATGAGTACGTGCCGCCCACGTTTTCGACGCCTCGAGGCAGCATCTTCGTCGACGCTGCTGTCGGCAGCGACGACGCGGCGGGCAGCAGCGACGAGCCGCTCCAGACCCTCGAGGCCGCTGCGGCCGCAGCACGCGGGCGCCGGAACGCGACCATCGTGCTCCGGGCGGGAGTCCATCGCGTGGCTCGCACGGTCGCCCTCTCCGCGGAGCACGTCAACCTGACCATCCAAAACTACGAGGGCGAGCGGGCCTCGCTGTCGGGCGCCAGGGGACTCGCCATCCCGGCGGCGGCGTGGCAGCCTTACAGGGTCGGCACCGGCGACTGGGTGGTGCGGGAGGGCTCCAGTCTGGTCCTTGGCCGCGCGGTGGCGGGCAAGGACAGCGGGCCCGTCAAGTTCCTCGGCGTGCGAGGTAGCGCCGCGGCCTGCCAAGCATCCGCTTCGCGACTGGACATGGGCGGCTTTGCGTATCACGACCGGACAGTGACCGGGTTCGAGCAGATGTGCTATGGCGTTGAGCGGGACGCCTTCACGTGGGCGACGGAGCCGCAGAGAGGCGTGACGAGCGGATTTGTCGACCGCCAAAACACCTGGGTCGCCGACGTCTCGTCCCTCGGCCTGACGGAGCAGATCGTCGGGCTGCGTCGCAACGGCCGCCGGTCGATCCGGGCGCGGTATCCGAACGGCGACCCCGAGCTGTCGGGCGACTGGCTGACGGGCGCGGAGCAGGGCATGGGCGGCGGGGACTACGTCAAGGGGTGGGTGCCGCTGTCGGCGCGCAGCCAGTGGGTCAAGCCGGCCCGGCGCGGCACACCTCTCGAGGCGGCGGCTGGACAGACATTGCCCGGACGCGTCACGGACATGTCCGATAGGCGCGTGGACCGCCGCCGCTGCCACGCCACACTCGTAGGAGCCTTCTAGGAGCCTTCTAGGGACCTTCTGGGAGCCTTCTCCTAGGCGCGGCGACCCGTTCGAGGCGGTGGCGACGGGCGCTGACTGGCCCGGCGTCGAGTGGCCGCAGTACGCGGGACCGCAGGACGGAGAGGGCGACAGGGGCGCCTTCCGCATCGGCATCGGCGGCTACTGCCAGCACGACCTGGCCGATCCGGTCGCCGGGCCGTCCGGCTACTGGTGCTCGAACCGGCCGTCGCGCGGGCAGTGCTGGGACCGCAAGACGAACCGCGGGACGGGCACGCGGCTCTTGCCCTGTGGCGGTGGCCGCTGATGATGAAGCGCCGATGCCGTGCAGCGGGCCTTAGGCTGCACCCAGACCCACATGTCGCCCGACGGCCTCGTGCTGCCTCGGGCTCGGAACTACTCGGCGCGCGGCGTCGGCGCCGAGGTTGTCGCGTGGCGCGGCGGCGGCCGCTGGTTCACGCAGCGGTGGAGGGCGACGGGCTTCGACAGGGCGAGGGACAGGTCCAAGACACGTCCACGACATGTCCGAGACATGTCCATAGGTGACGGGTTTCGACAGGGCGAATGACACCCTGCAGTTTGACCCTTCGACGGGCGGGCAGGGCGGCGAGGGCATGACGTGCGCGAGCCAGTAGTGGTACGTCGAGCGAGATTCTTTTTCTTGAGTGCCGTGTTTCTTTTTTGAAGGTCCGCGGGGCAGTGGTACGTCGAGAATGTGCTCGAGGAGGTGGACAGCGCTGAGGAGTTCTTCCACGACCTCGCGGCGGGCAGGCTCTACTACGACTTCAACGCGAGCGCTCCGGGCGCCGCCCCCTCGGAGCCTCAGGTGTGGGACCCTTCCAGGAACCTTCTAGGAACCTTCTAGGAACCGTCTCCTAGGCGCCGCCCCCTCGGAGCCTCAGGTGTGGGAAGCCACCACCACCCGCGCCCTCCTCTCCCACGTCGGAACAAAGGCCCGGCCGGCCGTCGGCCTGACCGTGCGCGGCCTCACCCTGCGGGACACCCTCCGCACCGACCTCGACCCGCATGGAATGCCGAGCGGCGGCGACTGGGCGCTGCAGCGGAACGGCGCGGCCTCCTCCCCCTAGGCGCGGGCGCGTGTAGCGCGCCCCTTTTCACACGCCGCTGCGATCAGGCGCCATCTTCCTGGAGGGGACCGAGGGCGCAACTGTCGCGCAGTGCCACTTGACCCGCCTCGACGGCAACGGTGTCGCCGCTCTCGCGCCGCGACCCTCCCACATCGGCTGTGAGACATGTCCGAGACATGTCCGAGACGTGTCCGAGACGTGTCCGAGACTTTTCCGAGACGTGTCCGAGACGTGTCCCGCACTTCGGCTGTGAGCCTCGCCGCTGACGGCCTTCACCCCGCGGGCAGGCGTCTTCCTCTCGGGCTACAACCGCAACGCGACCATCACGGCGAACGAGGCCTCGTGGGTGGGCGCCAGCGCCTTTGCGGCATGGGGTTGGACCAGCCGGTGCCTCAACGGCAACTGCAGCGTCCGGCTTCCGTACCCGGTGGGGCCCGACGGGCGCGGCGGCGAGCAGCCGCGCCACACGACGATCTCGCATAATCTGGTCCGCGAGATTGGCATCTGGCAGAAGCAGTCGTCGATGTGGTTCCAGGCGGCAGATCTCTCGGCTGATCTCGGCTGCACTCTCGGCTAATCTCGTGCAAGCTGCCGTCGCGGCTTGGCTCCACCAGGCGGTCACCACGCAGACGACCCTGCGCGGCAACGTCCACTTTAACGGGTCGCGAGATGAGCCGAGATGAGCAGGGACGAGCAGAGATGTGCAGAGAGATTGTGTAAAGTTGTGTAGAGACGCGAGCAGAGATGTGCAGAGATGTGCAGAGAGTGTGCAACGGCATCCGCTTCAACGGGTCGTCTGCTGCGAGGCGCACACGCGCCACCCACCGCCCGCACTCCCCGGCCCTCGTCCCGCCTCGATCTCAGGCCGCGAGCGGGGATCAACTTCAACGACGGCTTCGGCGGCGGCGACGTCGTCGAGCGCAACCTGCTCGCAAACACAGTGCGCGAGAGCGGCGACCACGGCCGCGCACACTCGGGCGGGAGTTGGCTTCCTGCTGACGACACGTCCACGACACACGTCCTCGACACGCCCCATAGGCCCCTTCAACTCGTGGGACCGCCTGCCCTACATCACCACCGTCCGGAGCGGCGTGCCCTCGGTCCTGCCGGCGTGGCGAGGGACAGGTCCAAGACACGTCCACGACATGTCCGAGACATGTCCATAGGTCCTGCCGGCGTGGCGGCACATCCGCCGCAACCTGATGATGGCCGTCTACGCGTCCCAGGAGGCCATCGACACGGACGACGGCAGCGCCTACTACAAGGTCTACCGCAACTTCTTCCTCTACGCCGCGCACGGCCTGAAGAGCGATTTCAACGGCCACGACACGCAGGCGTACGAGAATGTGTATGCCTACGTGAGTGACTGCTGGGGCCCCGCAGGCAAGATGTGGCTCAAGACGGGCGCCAACAACACATTCCGCGACAACGCGTGCATCGCAAACTCGGACGAGGGCGGCTTCGCCTCGGACTGCGCGGGCGCCACGCCAGTCAACCTGACCATCACGCGCAACCGCGTCTTCAACCGGCGTGGCACGCTCAAGGTCAAGCTCTGCGACGCCTCCAACACCGTGAAGTCGCTGCCCGAGGACAGCGAGGTCATCGCGATGGGCCTGGAGGCCATCGCATGAGAGGGGGGGGGGGGGGGGGCGTCCTGTGCCCCCGAGTACATTTTAACTACGAGGTGGAGAGGCTCCCATTTATTTTCGAGTAGGAAAATGCAGCTCCTTTTCCCGCGACCGTACCTCTAACCAAACTCCAAAGTCGAGAGTCCTCTCAGCACACACACTGACACATCGAGATCTATCTTTTCACAAACAAAGACACAACCGATCTCGGATCTTGGAGCACTCGGAGTGCAGTCGGCAACCTCACACCCAGGGCCGGGGAGCTATGATCCTATGAAGCGCACCCAGCGGGGGTGAACCTTCTTTTCTACTAGGCTAGGATTGAGAGCAGCCTCGCTCTCAATCCTAGAAGTCGAAGGATTGTGAGCAGCACTCCTCGCAATCGTAGCATCTCTGTGCGATTGTGAGCACCCACGCTCGCAATCCTACATCTTCTAGGACTAAGAGCAGCTCCGCTCCCAGGGACGCGACTCACCTCACAATAAAGAAACAACACTGAGCACGGGACCGGCGCACTAGATAGCTATAGGGGGAGACCAGCGTGCAGATGCGTATTTTCTTCTCAAATTAACAAACAAGCAAGGTCTGTGCTCCACACACACACACACACACAAGAAATCTCTCTCTCACACACTGCTTATGTAAACACAAACAAAGAAAAGTATACCGTCAGGCCGACTGAAGTCTGAACAACAGTAAGGATGGCCCGGTGGCCTGGCAGTGACCCACGACGATCTCTTGTTATGACCCCCCCCAATGAACACACCAGTGAGGGAGGGCGAGACGATCGAGGGGTCCCGTACCACGCGGAATCGGCCCTATCCAGTGCTCAAGTGCTCAAGTGCCCGCGTGTAATACCCGAAAATACCCGGGATTTTTTTTTTGGTTTTTATTGCCATTTTCTGCTTGCTGGCCGCTGTCCTGAACAACAATCTAGTAACAACAGTGTAACAAACAGTAACAGCATGGCCATGGGGCTGGCGGCTGGGGCGAACACTCGAACAACGTTGAGGATTTCAGCCACAACAACTGTTAGGGCTTAGGCGCCCCAAATTAACGTTAGGCACCCATATTCCGCGGCTTCCGCGCCCCCTTCTGATTTTTCGTACGAGTTCTGTGCGTTCAGGGTAGCTTTCTTGACTCTCTGCAATGTGCACCCGGCTTCAAGTTGCTCTGTGCGGACCTCGTGGCGAGCCTAGCGACTCCCCCCCCCCCGCGCGCGCCCGCCAAGGCAGGACCCCGGTGGCGCAGAGAAGCAGCGCACTGGCCACGAACGAGCCAATGTAGGGCGCGATCAAGCAGTGGGCCATGCGAGTCGGGTAGGAGTGGGAGGGGAAGAGCCAGCCGAGGCGTCCCGCGGACATGAGAGTGAGGCCAATGTTGGCAAGCATGAAACCGGCGGGGATCCGGAGGGAGCGGCCGAGGAGTGGACTGAGGAGGCCGAGCTCGATTAGAACGGACTGCTGAAGCGCGCTCTCACCCTGGTCGCTGCACCTATCATGCCGGGCCACGGTGCAAACCGTAAATGAGCGGGGAGTACCAGGGCAGGGCCGCGGCCGCACGCACATGGCGCCCAGCACGCTCTCGATGTCCTCTAGCAGCTCCTCCTCTTGCCGAAGGAAGGCCTTGAGCAGCCGCGCGACATTCGTGCAAGTCCACACGCCCCAAGTGAAGAGCTGCGCCCTTGCCAGGAAGCGCGCGCGTCGCGCGGCCGCGCGCATGCCGAACGCCACGCGGATTAAGTGCCCGCCCAAGAGGACCACGGCGAGGGTGGAGACGGAAGCGATGAGGTTGGACCCCTCGCCGTCCCCCAAAGGCGTCCACCTGCGGCGCAGCCAGAGAGCAGGACACGTTGATTCGCGACGCCTCTCAACGCGGGGGGAGGCTTCACGCAGATTGAGAGGCGGAGGCGGGCGCAAGCGACACAGGAGAGGGGTGGAGTCAGGGTGGGACTTAAGTGGGGGCGTGGGCGGGGCGGGTGCGCGAGCGCGGGCTGGGGTTTCAGGGGGAGTTTCAGGGGGGGGAAAGCGAGCCCACACCCGTCTGCTGTCTCGGTCAAGAAGCCCCGCTCCTCCGCCGCGCGCAGCAACAAGATCTGGCACCAAAAGATGCACAGCGCGCCAGCCTGCACCCTCTCGGGCGTCGCAGAATACCCACAGACGCCCCCTCCCGGCAACGGCAAGCCTTGCCCAAGAAGCCTGTGGCGTGCCCAGAACCGCACCGAGCCGCCGACGCGCCGGCCCAGAGCGGCCACCAAGTAACCCGGCGTCGCAAGCCTGCCGGTCCGAGGCTTCCTCCTAGGCAGCGACAGCAGTGGGCTCTTTGTGAGGGGGCTGTTGGCCAGGGTCGGCTCGGGAGGCGACGGAAGCGGCGAAGGCACTGGCGCCAGGGCAGATTGCCGCGGCAAAGCCGGGAGCATTGCGGCCGCCAACGCAGGGAGAAGCGGCGGGGGGACGGGCAAGTCGCTGCCGTCCGCTAGTGTCACCTCTGCGGCCGTGACGATGCGCAGCACTGCAGCCACTGCTGCGGGATCGTTGCTCCCGGCGGAAGAGGTGGCGAGATTGGAGACCATGGCGTGGAGGACTGCCTGGAGGCGGAGGAGCACCGCACTGCGATCGGCGGCGGCGGCGCCGAAGAGGCGCAGCTGCTGCTCGCGAGGCAAGTCCGCGCCGGCAGCGAGGGATCGGAACTCAAGCTCGATCAGGGAGCCGATCCGGTGGCAGCTGGCTTGCAGCGGAGTGAGGGACGAGACGGGACGAGTAGATTCTCCCGGCGGGGAGGTCGTAGTAGCAGCAGTAGTCGTAGTAGAGGACGTAGTAGTAGTAGAAGCAGCATCTCCCAGCGAGGTGGAGGGCGAGACCGAGGGCTGCGACAACAGGTCGTCGGATTCCAGCGAGGAGAGCAGCTCGCCGAGGAGCTCCTCCATCTCATCCTCAGGCTGCGGGCCGCGATCCCACCGGTCCGATGCTTCCCCATAGTCGCCTCGGCATTCACCCGCGCCGCCCTCCTCGCCGCCGCCGCCGCCCTCCTCGCCGCCGCCGCCGCTGCTGCCGCCGCTGGCATCGGTGTCGGCGTGAGGATCGCACAAGGCAGCGAGGACGCGCAGAGCCTCCGAGGTGGTGTCGCGAGCCTCGGGAGTCCCGGCGGTCACGGCGAAGTCGCAGTTCGGGGAAGAGAGGGCGCAGAACGACGGGGTCGCGTCGTTGGTCGGCACGCCCCGGCTTCCGAGCGGCACCAGCTGCGCTCGCGCCCGCTCCAGGAGCTCTGCTGACGTCGGCGAGGGGGGCGAAGAAGAGGCAACCGAGCCCCCGACGGCATGGGTGGCGGCGACGGCGGTGGCGGTCGGAAGGGCGGGTGCTGCAAACTCGCGATCAACGAGCTCCTGCCTCCCGCCTGGAAGCATCAGCTCCAACAGGTCCGCTGTGCGCGAGACGGTGGCAGCCTTGGCCGCGGCAGCCTTGGCGCTCTGGGGATTTTGGCACCTGCGTGCACGGCACAGCTTCTTTCTGATACCCTTCCCACCGAAAGCGGGCTTGTCCTGGCACTCGCGACAGAGCCCACAATTCACCGCGCAGCAGCCGCTACATCGGTTGCATCGGCGCATCAAAATGCGCATCGCTTAGGCTCCTCGTCCCACGATTCGCAACGCCTCGCTAGGAGAGACGGCCTCGCTTGGGAGTGATGCAGGAGGCCTGGAGCATGGGATCCCATCGGGATTGAGCACCGAGATCAAAAACCGCGGATGTCGGCGAATTCTCTCGAGGTGGATAGATCTATCCTTTGGCCGCGTTGGGTAGCGAGGATTGGTGTAACCCGAGCCACGGAGGCGTGTTTTCTGGCGGCCGACCGTCAGTGCACGGAGTTGCCACTTCTCCGACTGCCCCGGCTAGTTCCCGAGGTCGTCGGGTGTGACCCCTTCGTCCCCCGAGACCTAGCGCGGGTGGGTTGGAGGGGGCTCGCCCCGTTCCTCCCCATCGGGCCGCGTGAGCGGCCACGCCTCGCAGATTCGTTTTCGCGCCTGGGTCAGGCGCGCGGGGCATCCCCCG